ACTATACATGGTAATAAAGGTGCAATTGATACAATACGTGGTCAAATAATTGAATTAAGACATGATGTTGATCAATTACGATTTGAAATTAATAATCATCGAAGAAAAACTATTTCAATAAATAATGAAAATCGTCGTATATCAAAATCTGAAATTAATAATCTTAATCAACCACCAATTTCTCATCATCATTTACATCATAGTGTTGAACCAGCTGTTACAAGAAAACGTTCAGCAATTTGTATTATAATTTAAAAATTATATTATTGCTTTATTTGGTCTCTGCAAAATTTTTCTTTTTTGTTTTCTTTTCTATTTATTCTCAAAATAAAAAAAGTAAAACGGAAAAAAGAAAAAAAAAAAATTTTTTTTTCTAATATATTTAGATCATTCAAAAAGTTCTGTCACTTTGAAACATTTATTCATAGACAAGACATTCAATCGAACTTTTTACAATAAATGTTCGAAATAGTTGTCGTAATGTTCGATACAAAGTTTCATTCTTTCAATCCACTTTTCAAATGTCTTTTTATAGTCGCCAACAGGCATCGAAATGAGTCTTTTTTAGTTATTGCTTTCGCCAGACTTGTGACATCTGGATATGAATCAAGTCTATCTGTAAGATAGCTGTATAACCAAAAGTCTGAAGGAGCAAGGTCAGAGAGTAAGATGAATGAGTCATAATTTTGACTTTTTTTTCTTCTTGAAGATAACTGATAACAATATCTTTCATATATTGTTTTATATTGGCATGCTAAAACTTGATACTATTTGTTTCTGATGATGGTCTTTTATTCAATAAATTTTTAACTAAAGATTTTCAGTATTTATTACGATGATAGGTACCATCATAGATATTCCAGAAGAAACTTGATAGATAGGTAAGGATCCAATAGTCATAAAGAAGATAACAAACATGGTTTTTTTTTTCTCAGAAACTTGTCTTTTAATGATGGTCGAATGACTTTCTCCTTCTGCTGTCCACGCTTTTGATTAAATCTTACGATGATAAATCCAAGTCTCATCATAGGTGATAATATCACACAACCACCAAGCGTCACTTTCAAACTTCTTTAAATTTTCAGCACATATATTCACATGTCATCATCAGTTTATGGAGCATCTATTTCTATAATATTTTTCTTAAGCGTAGATGGTGTTTCAATATATAATCCATACTGTCATGCAATATATCAAAGACTTTGACAATAAAATCAATACTAATATATAGATCATTATTAGCTAGATCTCGAACGGCGCCGATGTTTTCTTGAATAACGATGGGTGTTGGGCGACCATTGCGAGGACCATCTTCTATCGATTTTCGTCCAGTCGAAAGATCATGAACCCAGTGGGTAATCGTAAGCAGTGGTCAGTTCATCATGGGTTTCAAGAGGGTATGGCTGCAGTTCTTCTTTATTCACCGACATGTTTTTGTTTTCTGGTTGAGAAAATTTGTGTTCTACTTATATATGCGATAATCGTGAAAAAAATATACACATACTTAATTTTACCTTTATATTTTTTTTTGTGATAGAAAAAAAATAGATAGAATATTAGAAATCAGAATAAAAGTTACAACGAGTGATATATCTTTTAACTAAAAACGTTTTCTATCATAATCATCTCTCTGGAGGACTACAGGACAAATTTTCAAAAAATTATATCTGAGAGAGGGTACAGGCATAATATCATAAGAATGTTTTCGTTGCTAAAAGATATATATGATTTGTTGTAGTTTTTTACTTTGATTCCGAATATTTTAGTAATTCGTTTATATCACGAAAAA